GTGTGTATGTGAATGGAATTGTCACCTACAACTAGGACAGTGATATATTAACTATTGACAATCCTTTGGTGCATGTTGTGTGCCTAAATAAATAAAATAAAATAAATAAATATATATAACTTGCTTGATGTTTGGACATGGCCCACAATATATACTACTTTCTTTTAAATTACATATTATAGTGCAATGTAGAAATATATACATTATGTTTTTTGTTGTTATTCATTTAAACTTTTATTATTAAAGATCGGAAATCACCAGTAGGTTTTGTTGACCAGCCAGCTTTTGTTGAGAGCAGCTTAGCTCAGTCGGCTAATCTGGTGGTAGCCACTGTGTGTGTGCTGACCGTGGAGATTCTATGTCCCTGGTTCAATTTCAATCGCTGCCTTGTGTTTCAGCTGGAGGGCTGAAATACAAGTTACAATAATGCACCGTCTTTCGGATAAGACATTTAAGCTGTTGGTCCCGCAGGCATTTATGGCCCATGTGCACGTTAAAGAATTGCTGTACACTCTTCGGAAAAGAGTAGGGGATTGTCTCCTGGTGTACTGCCCAGTCACCATCAGAAGGACCCCACTGGAAATAAGTCTTCTTCTAGACTTTGTGGGCTATCCTTGGTGTTTACACCGAATAAATCCAATCCAATCCAATCCGACCTTCACTATGGATCTTATCCAACTTCGGCAGTAAATATTTCCCATTTACAAATCAACTCTATCAATTTTTTACTTTCTGTAATTAGCGTGCTTCCTTAATTAGCCAATTAGCTGATTCCATCAAGGTTAAAGCTATCCTTTGAATGTATACCTGACCAGAGTGGACATAACATTGACCGTTAGGCAATTGTTACACTTTATTAATTCATTTATAAACAAGGAAATCCACCCAGAGTGTCTGAGACAAGATTAAAGAGAATTTTAATTGATGGTGATAAAATTCTAAAACCACATTTCCCCAGCTAGATGATGTTTAGGCAAAACATTTTCTAGTTGATAGTTATTAGTACTACTTTTTAAATCAAAATAAATTATAAAATTATAATCAATTTCCAGGTAAACATAACAAATCAAACCAGAGAATGAAAAACAAGCATTGTGGCCCACCTAATAATAATATGCGGAAATTTATAACGCGCCAATTCAAAAACATTATCAAAGACGCAGTGAACAATTAACCTAATTAAAGCGATTGGTAAACAAAAAGGTTTTCAAATTAGTTTTAAAAATTAGTTTAAATTTGAAGATTGTCGAACAGAAAGAGGTAAAAGATTCCAAAGATAAGGTTCCTGAACAGAAAAAGAACGTCCTTATGTTTGTAGCTTTTTGAGTGCAGCCCGCAGTGTTAAATTAGACCAATTCTTATGCCAGCTTTATGATGTCATAAAGACTCATATATGGGCAAATCATATGTGTTAGTTACATAAAAGTGTTGCAGGCATAGTATGCTCCTTCATTATAGCATTTATTCCAACAATACAATCTTAACGTTAAATAACAATTAAAATAATACCTACAACTACATTATTTGAGTTTAATGGAACCTAAATCTTGGGGATCAGGTTCATATACACTCAAAGTCTAACTGGAGGAGACAGGCAGGCATGTTACCAATTTATGCTTGCTGTCAACTTTGTCCTAGATTTATGCTACAAAGTTTTTTGACACTGTCTGATTTAATGTGCACAGTTGCAAAAAAGTTTTGACTTTTACCTGTTTATTATTTATTATTGTTAACTTCTTTTCTGGCCATGTATGCTTAAATTTATGTTACTTACATACAATTATTGTCTGGATATTATATTTCAGTATACGATAGTGAGAGAAATGACAAAAATAGATTATAATAGCCATTCTTGTTGGTTAATGATGATGTTGACCTATAGGAAATCCAGAACTACCCTGTACATTTGTGCACAAAACACACTTATTCAGTGTATAATATGTGCATTAGAAATGCCACATTGTAGGATAAAGTATATATAAACACGTCTGTACTTAACATTTCATCTATTGCTATTATTCCCAAGGTAACACATCTCTTGATAATATACTAAATTTGCTCAAACTGCACCACATTGTAGAGGCAACTTGAGGCATATTGGAAGAATTGCTGTTGTAATCCATCAAAAAAAGGTGTCCCAGGGACGTGTTGTCTCGGAAAGAGGGTCGTAAAACGAGTGCTAACCCTCCGATAAACCTGGAAAAGTGTAATTACTTCATGAATGGGGACAGATTGAGGAAGGGAGATAAATTGGTTTGGTTTAAAGTTTGAATAAGTCCATTTTGCATTCTTTAATTTCAGATTGATTTCAAGTAATCTAAGCATAATAAAGATAATATTTGAAAAAGTAATACTGTATAATTTTTTTTTGTTACTGCCAGTGATACCACTAAGGCTCAATCTTGAACAGGGGCGGATTTAGGGGGGCCGGCCCGGCCCCAGTCCCCCCCCTTTTGGAAGGTAAAAAAAAGGAAAAAAGAAAGAAAAAGAAAAAAATGATAGCCCACAACGCCCCAAATGTTATTTTCGGGCGTCTAGAACACAAAAATTTCGCGGGGGCTTGCCCCCGGACCCCCTAGGACATTGTTGTCTCGATCGGCCCAAATTTCGGCCCCCCCCCTTTTGGTCCCCCTTTTGGACATCTCTGGATCCGCCCCTGTTGAATGTTGTGTTCATGCACCGATGACCTCATGACCTGTTTGATTGCTGGACATTGTGCCTTATCACTTGAACAACACCTATAGAATTCTCAAAATGAGATTTGCCTGCTGCCTATTAATAGGTTATCTTAGAGAAGCCAGTTTCATCTTGAATAATATTAATTTACCTCTTTTTATTTTTATGGATTTCATATCTTGCATTTGTGCCAAGCCATGCTCTTTGGCTAGGATCAGTTTGTGTTGAATTTTGACATGTGGTTTATTATACGAAAGATTAAAGCCACTCTCCCACCTAGGTTTATTTCACCTAAGAGTCGTACGATTTCTACGAGTTAAAACTCGTGATCTTTGGAAAGGACCTATACAAGCTTATTACGTGATAGCTACGAGTGAGGTACGACTTTATGGAGTTGGTTACGAGTTATGTACGAATTATGCCGAGCAGAGCACCGAGTTAACTACGAGATTATTACGAGCGTAACAAGTTTGTACCGAATTAGATACGAGTTAGGTACGAGCCAACTCGGTGCGCTCGTACTTACTCGTACTCGTTTTTGGGTGCTCGCATCAAACTCGTAGATGACAAAACCGCCGACAAGTATCAAGAGTAGTGTACGAGCTAGGTAAGAGTACCCCGAATACTCTACGAGCTACCTACGAGGTCTTCGAGTTTACTACGAGTTATCTACTCGTGGCGATAATTTTGAACATGTTCAAAATTAGCGCCACGAGTTCAGAGCTGCTACGAGTAGGTAAGAGTCCTCTCCGAGCTTTCCGAATCGTCCTACGAGTGTTTGCCGAGTTAGCAACTCGGCATTCTCTTGTAACTCGTATGCTGAAAAAACCCCTAGTGGGAGAGGGGCTTAAGTAACTTCGGAGGCAATAACTGCACACATCTTTTCTTAAAAAGCATTTAACTTTATAGCAAAAGCTTTTTAGTTATGAATAAGTAGATATAATAATTGATAGAATAACTAGACTTTTTGATCAGTGGCACGCTTCTCAATAGAAGATGTTCCAAAACAATTAAAAAAAAGAATATTATTGTAAACCTTTAGAACTGGTGGAGAGGACAAGAATGGACAGACATAGTACGCCTGGACTTGTCTATTTAACACTGATTTGTAAAATATAATGCATCAAATTGTTATTCATTTTTATGTATTTGATATATTAAAACTTCCATTTGAAAATGTTCTTAAAAGAGACTTCCAGCAGTCTTGAGATCAGTGGTGTATCTAGAAGTCTTGAAATGGGGGTGCTGATGGGGAGGGGGCATGCGCGAACGTGAAGTGAGGGGCTCGATGATCAGTTGAGGGGCGCTAATTTGCAAAATATGACGATTTTTAACTACTTGACCGTGATTTTTATTTTTGAGGGGGGGTGACTGGTGGCTGGGGCGCAAGTAACTTTTTCCCTGTGCGCTCCCCTAGATATCCCACTGCTTGAGATTGACTGAGTCATCTGGTATTCTACTTTAGGTTGCCAGGTTCTCCCTTTAAATTCACATGATCATGATAAATTTATAGACTAAAATGTCAACCAAATCATTAATGATTCTATATCGGATGATTAGGGTAAAAGGGTATGAAATACTTTGGTGACATTATGATTACCATTATGTCCATCATCACACTCGTTGTCAATATCATTGTCATCATCATCATTATCATTGTCATCAATAAATTCTCATCAATAATATCGCCAACATCATCATTGTCACATCCTGTATTGTTGTAATCATGATCATTATCATCATCGTCACTATATCATCGTCATGATCATTATAACAACGATAATTTTGAATGCAGAAATTTATTCTCAGAAAAACCTTCACCTTTCTTTTTCCTAAGATCTCAAGTATACTAGTGTTGCATTAGGTAAACCATCTATAGAGCATTTTGATTGGTGCTCAGTTTTTTAGGGGTATCACTTGAATTTCAGGGGTGTTTTGAGGTTACATGAATAAGATATATTTAATTAGATATGACAGGCTAAAGCTCACATGGGAGAGATAATATACTTACCTATAAACAATGAAAATCTATCTTGAACATGGAAATTACTGTATTTGAGGTATGTGGAGAATTATTCAGGAAAAAAGATAATTTAAATTAATTGTGGTCAAGTTTTTATCAAATACACCCCTAATTTGATAATGTAGGAGTCCAGCTTCTGTAGATCCTGTTCAAGTTCTACACCATTATCAAAGTTTATGACAAACCCATTTGTATTTGAAACTCTTACATAATAAAAACCAACTTGCTACTGTCAGCAAATTGGCGAATCAGAATTGATGTGGGCGTGTCCTAAGGATGTAGGTTTCTTGAGGTGAGCTTGGACCACCTAAACTCTATCAATTCAAGTTTGATGTGTTGCTGCTTAGTTACAGATTGTGCTTATTCTAAGATGAGTCAAGTTCTTATTTTTGTAGAATTTTAATCTAACTGGTTTTTGGATCAAAGGTGTGAATTTTAACGTACATGATTGTACAAGCTTGAATGACAATTTGACAGAATGAAGACAACATTTTACATCTTTTGTTTTGTCGCTGTGTGCTTGATTGCAAGAGCCTCCCCTCAGGTATGTGTTTATTAATTCTTACGAGACAGGTGGTGAGTTGATAAATTGATAAGCTTAAGTGGGATTTGAATGTGTGTTATAACTTATAATGTCCGCACCATCGGAAGTTACTTTTGAGTCAGAACCTGTGGGTGCTGAGCCTCAAGTTTCCACCGCTTCACACCTAATCTGTCAGAAACATTCATGTCTAATTAAGTCTAATATTAGACACATTACCAATTTGATGATTAAGCTACAATATTTGAGATTGCAATAGCTCAGGGGTCATTTTTTACACCAATGCTTTAGCAGATTTTTAGAGTTTGTTTTAGGTTCTTACAAAAGTTCCTAACAATGTGTTCCAGATTAATGTATAGGTCTATATATAAATTGACTTATATTTCTTTAGTGGCAAATTCTGTGCATTCAGTTAATGAATATTCACACTGCTAATCAAGTACAAACCTCATTATCTTGATTAAAAGTGTTTTTTACAGTATGAAATTGACAACAATAATAACAAAACCAAAAATGTGTATAAAAATCTGTACATTATTACTGGTTGTTCTACAAAGTTAAATTTAGTGAACGGAAACAGAAAATAGATTCTCATTTACTATAGTGAGATGCATTTTAAAATGCAAACTTGTGGATTTATACATTTTTTGATATTGAATTGTTTATAATACACACAGTCAATTCATGATTGAAGTTTCATACACAACTGAGGGGGTATTATCCCACCTACAAAACATTCAAATAATTAAACAATAACAACACTTGAATTTTGGCAATAGCATCATCCAACAACCTTATTACAACAGATAATTATCTAAAAAAACATTGTTCCCACTAGGATTCCCAAGAGTCCTCCATTTGCTATTTTGTTGTTCTTTTCCTGGCTTATAAATAAAATGTTCAATTCCTTTTTTTCTTTGCTCCTAGGGCTTTGTTTGGGATGAAAAGATTTCACAAAAAGTTCAATGTGCAGATCTTTTTCAAACATAACTGCTTTTATATATTTAGGCCTATAAAACACAAAAATTACTCTGGCTTCTCCCCACATCACCAGGGCTCTTGGGCATCCCCCTGGACCCCACGCCCAGATACTCCCCTTGGAAAAAACACCTGGTGACGAGCCTGTAAATATTGGACAAAAAAGGTTATAGTCACAAATTAATTATACAATCACAAATTTGTAATTGACTAAGTAATAAATAGGCCTATTTATTTATTTATTTTCTCCAAACTGTAAATAACAAAAATAAAATTTACCATGTAACTATACAGATACAATGAAATATAACTTGTATTCAAAACAAAATATAATTGGTTTAATAAATAAGTAGGTCAATTGTTCTTTTTATTATTAATGTTTTCACTTTAGGAGGTTGGAGAATCACTTGATAGTTGATTCAGTTCACTTTTTGATAATCCTGTCTACCTCCTAAAGTGTCTGTACATTGTACTGTAATGTTTGTGTCATAGATGAAATAAATGAAATGAAATGCATTGATACAATGACAGTACTTATGTGGATATTTTCATATGTGAAAGTGAGACTAAAAATTAGAGATATTCCCTTCAATATAGGAAGTTAAATAACCTAATTTGGATTTTCACCCAAATACTTCAACAAAGTTAAATATAAAAGCCAGTATTTAATAACTTGTCAATGGTTCAAAGATGATAGAATGCCAAATGCCAGGCTAGACTGAAGGTGAGACATTGAAGGGTATCAAGACAACAGGTGCCTTCAGCTGTGTTTTAGGACATGATTGATCTAGGGGGCAGCTCCATGGTTTTTCATGTATGACATCAGAAACTTTTGTTAATTTAGAGCCAAAGGAAGATAAAGTTAGCTATATCAAGTATATTCATTTTCAGTGCAATGTGCAGTGCAAAACAATTCGTAAAATAATAATTTTTCATTCTTTGAATTATGATGATTTGAGGATGGGGCAAAGGCAGATTTGGTATTTTCTCCTCGAAGGTGGGTCCACTTCTGTTCTTAGAAATTAGAATCTATTTATTTATGCTCTCATAACATTTTAAGTAAATTAATTTAAAAATATATATACTTTTAGATCAAGTTTTTAAAAACAACTATTTTAAATATGGTTTTTTGGAAAATGTTTGAAGCCTAATCTGAAACATTAATTCTGAAATCATATTATAAGGTGCAAGTATTTATCCCCAGTGGGATGTTCAATTCCATAATTGGTATCAACATGTCTGTGGCACGCTCCATCCATACTCCTGTGCTTAATTGGATCACATTGGTTGATTAAAATCTCGCCCGTCTCCAACACCAAGATTGAATCAGATGTGGAAAGAAATTGGAAATAGGAAATTAAAAATTTGAATTACTTTAGAAAAGTTCTAACTTTCTCTTGAAAATTAGAATTAGAAAATTCTTTTTTTGCCAAATGAACAGATGTAATACTATTCTATATTTGTTTAGTACAATATTAAATTGCCTGGTACTGTACATAAAATGATTATCATCATTATTGCCATTATAAAAATCTGTTATTAATATTTATAATATAAATTGTTTTTTTTCTCTCCCATTCAAAGTTGATTTAATCCTTTTTTTATGAATCCTTTTAATTGCATTTTTTAGGGATATTTCAGGTTTACTATAGACTCATTCTTAATCATATGATCTCATAATTTGAAATTAATTGGTTGAGTGTCCTCATTATGTTTTGGATTTATTACCCAGTGACCGCATTGCGCATCGTAAATACATCTGTAGAGGTGTATCGTTAAACAATTTCCTCTCTGTTATGGAAAACAAGTTCGATCCTGACAGCTGATTGTTTATTGTTGGTTAAGGGCCGTGGCGTATCTAGAAGTCTTGAAATGGGGGTGCTGATAGGGGGTCGCGAAAGTGAAGTGGGGGAGCTCGATGATCGATTGTGGGGTGCTAATTCGCAAAATAAGCCAATTTTAGGTGATTTTTAACTACTTGACCATGATTTTTTGGGGGGAAACTGGGGGGGGGGGGCACAAGTAATTTTTGGAGGGGCGTGCACCAGCCTGCGCACCCCCTAGATACGCCACTTGTAAAGAGTACTCAATAAATATGTAAAAATCACTGCAGGGTACCTGGTGTGTAGTATTTCTTATTTATCACAGGAACCAAAGAATTTTTCTATAAATGTTTTTATAAGTAGGGCCTACTGTATTCAAGTTCAAATTCAAGTTTTATTTATTGTAAAATAGAAAGTAATACAGTAAAATGTAATTATTTTCTATGGATCAAATACAAAACATGACAAATTGAAGAATATTGATGAGAACTTACGAATTAGGTCATGTTATGCTTTTGCAGCTTGTACTTGCTTGCCAGAGTTCATTGACCTTGTAGTACAGCTGTGCTTCCTTTGCAGACTCTGATGTAGGTCTGAATGTCCTTTGTGGTGGACACACTAAAACCAGTTTGTCAATTGAAAGTTTTTCATTTGGGTCTATTGTATTTTTAGATCAGTTTTCCCCGGATGCCATTATTAATCTGATGTGAATTCACATGATGTTTGATTACAGTGGGAACTGTATACTGTATGTCTTTCAATATTTCTTTTCTACAGCCTTTAAGCTTACTGTGTCTTATGACTTATTATTATCTTCCTCAAATTCAACAAATTCTTTCTCTACATCTGGGCAAATTTATTTAATATACATGTTCTTATAATTGTATTTGCACCTTAGATCTTCCCCTGTACCTTGGCATCATTCACCTTGGGTCATCATCTGCACCCCTTGATCGGGTTCCAAGTCTCTGCAAATCGCGGGAATCTACCGGAAATTAGGAAGCTGGCCTCTCACACTCCCACAAGCAAGTGAGAATCTCCCGGAAAATATATCCCGGAAATTCATTGTTTCCTAGAAGTTAGTGGCAATAGGTATCACCATGCACAGCAAAATATAATGGAAGCTTATTTAAATAGATCTCCCGGATGTGGAATATCCCAACTTGGGGCCCCTGGGATAATTATTAGCTCCCATTCGGTTGTCATCTGCATTCCTAGATGATCCTCAGCATCCCAACCTTTGGGTCATCCTCTGCATCCCTTTATAAATTAAAAAAAGTAATAAGTGAGTGAGTCTTGGATGCTTGCCTTTCAATGAATGTAGTAGATGTAGAAGTATAGGAAGAACAGCATTAGACAGCCAGCGTATTGTGGCCAGAAGTTGAGTATAATTTGATAGCTCACATTTCACAGATATCTTAGCAGGTATATATCATGAGTCAATTATGGAATCAATAGATTCTTCTACTGTATGTTGCTTTATCAAAACATTCATGTCTGCATGATCCAGTCTGGTTCATCCAGAGAAGTTGAAAAGCAATGACAACATATTTATACCCCGCTGGAAATGTATGGTTCTAAGTCGCACACAACACATGCACATGGCTCTGCAAGTACAGTACTTGTTATTTGGTTCCCCCAGATATCGTTCTTGTTTGTAAATCCCAGGTTATAATTATTTTCATAAAATACCATAAAGAAGATTTGTTGTAAACATCGCAAGTTAAATTTTAATAGTCAACAAAATACAGTAGGACTAGGCCTCTCGATTCGGAGGATCTAGAGTAGAATGTACACTAGACTAGGGTGAGAATCAAGATGCATTTGCATAGCCTAGAAAAATAGTGTGAGTTAACAGTCGTATCAGTAGGCAGTCTATGTCTATAACTGAAATATTTTTGTGAAAGCTAATACAACATTATTTCTCTGAAGACAAAATTCTAACATTTAAACACCTTTAAATGCACTCTAAAGGTCATAATAAAAAGGACTCCCCCTCTAAAACCCAGCCACTCTCAGGGGCTCCGCCCCTCAGCTGTCGCTACGCGACAAGTTCTTCGTCTTCTATTTTGGAAGGCCTATTTCATTTGTTTTGCTAATCCCCTAGCGGTCAGTTACCTAAAGTAGCACTCAGGGTAAAACAAGGACTGATTTGGTAGTTATTTCACTTTAATTAGTATCATATTAGGTCTTTATCTTTGT